GGAGATCTTCGTCGGCGTAACGCCAGGGTTTTCAGCCTAGGGTTGCCAGACGTATTTTTTTATTGCTTAGATGGGTGGACGAGCTCACAGCCCACCTGATGTTAAGTGGTTACTGGAGCCCATAGACATCTACTACGTAAATGTGCATCCCACCTTGAGATATAAGTTCTAAGGTCTCAGAATAGTTACAACGGCTGCCCCACCCTTGAAACTGAAAGGCATTACTGCTTCACGCCAGAAATAGGCAGGGTGGTGGTGCCTACCCGTGCGGACTCACAAGAGGTCCTACCACCATTTCCTGGGACAGCCCGTATTATAGGCTTAGTTTAAAATGTCCCGATGGGACTGACTCTGTCCCGTATACGAACCGTACGATTATAATTGTATTGATTTTTATTAATACGTTAAAACCAATAAAAATATGTTAAAACTGATTTGCTCCTCGGAGAAATATAAAAAAAAAATAGAATTTCACTACATAATTTTGTTTTTTATTTGTCCCGGGTAAAATGAAAATAAAATTTCAATATTGCAATAATTGTTACGTTATAATAGCTCTTGTAAAACAGAATATTTAAAAAAAAAGACATGCCCGCTGAGTTTCTTGCCAGTTCTTCTCAGGACGGAGGCTAGTTTTTATGAATTGGCGATTGTTCTTTTTGACGTTCAACAAGTATGTACTTTCATTTATGTCGATTAAAAATTTTGATTTGATTTGAAAAAAAAATTCCCGTATTTGTTTGCCTATTTAAGCATTTGCCCGTTATAGGCTGAAAAAAAAATCTGGCAACCCTAGTTTTCACAGATAAAAATTGTAACAAATAAAATACAATACTAACTTTAAGTCGTCGTGGCCTAAAGGATAAGGCGTCCGGTGCATTCGTGTTGAGCGATTGCACCGGTGTTCGAATCTCAGGCCAATTTTTCAATGAAATACGTACTCAACAAATGTTCACGATTGACTTCCACTTTGAAGGAATAACATCGTGTAATAAAAATCAAACCCGCAAAATTATAATTTGCGTAATTACTGATGGTAGGACCTCTTGTGAGTACGGACGGGTAGGTACCACCACCCCGCCTATTTCTGCCGTGAAGCAGTAATACGTTTCGGTTTAAAGGGTGGGGTAGTCGATGTAACTATACTGAGACCTTAGAACTTATATCTCAATGTGAATGGCGCATTTACGTTGTAAATGTCTATGGGCTCCAGTAACCACTTAACACCAGGTGGGCTCTGAGCTCGTTCACCCACCTAAGCAATAAAAAAAAGTGAGTTATTATCACCAGCTAAGAGTAGGAGTCTACATCTGCACCTGTAGGGCGTCTATCTCAAACGTCACAAATACATAAAATATTGACCTAAATAACGTTTTATTGGTACCATTATTACAATTTAGGTTTTATGATACGCACACAAAGCGACATGACGTCCACAGTACTAAAAGTCTATTAGAAATGTCTTGTATTTTATTTGACAAGCTGAACACGGCCGTGTTTGTATTTTCGATGATGCCATTCTCACGCATGGCTTGGAGTCTCCGGGTCTGCGGAGGGACTTCGGTTCTCTCTGTATTTTGTACCGTATGTTCCATGGGGAGTGCTCTAAAGAATTGCTTGAGATGATCCCGTTTTACCATCGCACCGTCCGCCATCGCAGTAGTGTTCATCCATACTACCTGGAGCCACTGCGTTCATCCACAGTGCCTTTCCAGAGATCATTTTTGCCACGTAACATCCGGCTATAGAATGAGCACCCCTCCACGGTGTTTCCCGAGCGTTATAACATGTCCTTCTTCAAACTAGGATTGTGGAGAGTACTTTTTGATAGGCAGCTGGTTGACTGCCCCTGGTATTGCTGACGTCCATGGGCAACGATAACCACTCACCGTCATGTGGAGCTGTCAGCCTACAAAGGCAATAAAATAAAAAGCAAAGCTCACCTCTGCTACCTTCATTTGTAGTCATCGTGGCCTAACAGATAAGACGTCCGGTGCATTCGTGTTGAAGCGATGCACCGGTGTTTTTCTAATGAAATACGTACTCAACGAATGTTCACGATTGACTTCCACGGTGAAGGAATAGCATCGTGTAATAAAAATGAAACCCGCAAAATTATAATTTGCGTAATTACTGGTGGTAGGACCTCTTGTGAGTCCGCGCGGGTGGGTACCACCACCCTGCCTATTTCTGCCGTGAAGCAGTAATGCGTTTCGGTTTGAAGGGTGGGGCAGCCGTCGTTACTATACTTGAGACCTTAGAACTTGTATCTCAAGGTGGGTGGCGCATTTACGTTGTAGATGTCTATGGGCACCAGTAAGCACATAACACCAGGTGGGCTGTGAGCTCGTCCACCCATCTAAGCAATAAAAAAAATTCCTGATTATATCACCAAAATCTGTTTCGTATTAAACAGTAATAGAATGCTATAAACAAATAAAAATACTCCTCAAATTAACCCAACTCTTTTAACCAAGCGATTTTAAGTAATTCAAAAGGCAAGGGTCTTTATCAGAATCGCTATTATTTTCTTTACTGGAGTGTGAAAGTAACCTAAGTAAAGTAAAATAGCCTAAGCTAAAATCATCCTAATAAATTTTAAGTTTTTCGATTAGTATCGAGATCTACTTATAAACTCAATCTCAACTCAATTTACTGGTGGTAGGACCTCTTGTGAGTCCGCGCGGGTGGGTACCACCACCCTGCCTATTTCTGCCGTGAAGCAGTAATGCGTTTCGGTTTGAAGGGTGGGGCAGCCGTCGTTACTATACTTGAGACCTTAGAACTTGTATCTCAAGGTGGGTGGCGCATTTACGTTGTGGATGTCTATGGGCTCCAGTAACCACTTAACACCAGGTAGGCTGTGAGCTCGTCCACACATCTAAGTAATAAAAAATAAAAAAAACCACTCCCAGTGTTTCAAACCTCTGCAAATTCTGCAATGACCTCTCCCCGCCACGGTGTTTTTGGAGTGCTATGACATGTTTAAGCGCTTAAAACGAGGGTTCGAGATTTGTTTCTCAGCGAGTTAGCAGTCATCTAATTGATAAAATTTATTTATATATTTTTTTATATGTATATATTTATAATAATAATAATAAAGCCCTTTAATTCCGAGCTACAACTACGGCGTGCCTCGTGGCATAGGCCTCCTCCAACTCTCTCCATTGGGCTCGGTCCTCTGCAACTCTGGTCCAGTATGGTCCTAGGGTTAGGCGTATATCGTCACTCCATCTTGTTTTTGGACGCCCCTGTCTTCTGGTGTCCCCTCTTGGATACCATAAAGTTACTTGTTTACTCCACTTGTTTTTGAGAATGCCCATGGCCTATTTATTTATAAATTTATAAATAAATAAATAAATAAACATGTCCCCATAGAAACAGCCTACTGAGTTACTCGCCAGATTTTCTCAGTGGGTCACAAATCTGACCTGGTAGTGGATTTACCAAAGCCCTACTCTCGCTCGGGTCTTTGTTAGCAAATCTTTTGAGCCCGCGAGCTCAGCTACTCCAGGTAGTATGGATGAACTCTACTCCGGTGGCGGGCGGTGTGATGGTAAAAACGAGACGTTGGTTCCATCTCGAACAATACCTCAGAGCACTATATCGTCACTATGAGTCCCTCCAGGTTGTCAGAGGGTTTTCTTGCTATATGCCCAAAATATTGGAGAACTCTGTGTAGACATTTGGTGGATAGCCTCTGGTCAACTTTTAGCTCGTTGAGGATGGAAGCGTTCGTCCGGAAAGCCGTCCAACGATTAGGTAGGGAAATCAATTACGACATCTTCTTCAACCCAACCACCGCCCAAGGCTGAGTGTAGGTTTCTTCAAATGCGCCACATTCTTTTCGCTCTTTTGCCTTTCACATCCAGTCCCTACCAGCCACTTTGACCAGGTCATCCAGTATGAAGTCTCCGCTCCGGTACTTTTGTGCTCCAATGACATGTCCATGTTTAAATGTGGTTTAAAAGTATCCTTTTCAATTGACATCGGCTCTTTCCAACCTCCATTATGACAACTTGCAGATGCTTCGTACTTTGTTGCGGTTCCCTTTGATTACTGTGATGTAATCAAAATTTGCCCAAATCTCTAACACAGTTCTAATTACATACTCAAAGCCAAACTCGTATTCAGAATTCACGCTTACACACAAAAAATAAACTTTCTACTGAATTCCACTTCTAAACGTTATACGCTCTGCCCAACCTTCCAGTTCATACATGTACTAATAAAACATTTACAGCCTATGTTTCTTGGCGAGTGATCATTAATGGTAAAGGACTTATACCTTTAAGATGCTGATAAACAGTCTTTCTGTATTCGAAGAATTGACGTTATCAATATATTAATACATAACAAAAACTTTGTAGCCCCTTTTACGAAAATTGCGCGGACGGAGAAGTATGAAATTTCACACACTTATCGAAAATGTAGAAAAGGAGTGCAGAATGTTAATATTTTTTTTAACTATGCATAAAAATACATTATGTATGTAAATCAATTTAAAAAAATTACGCACACACATTAGATGGGTGGACGAGCTCACAGCTCACCTGGTGCTAAGTGGTTACTGGAGCCCATAGACATCTACAACGTAAATGCGCCACCCACCTTGAGATATAAGGTATAAGGTCTCAGTAAAGCTACAACGGCTGCCCCACCCTTCAAACCGAAACGCATTACTGCTTCACGGCAGAAATAGGCAGGGCGGTGGTACCTACCCGCGCGGACTCAGAAGCGTTTTTGTTATTACATCTTTTTTCCAAATTTTACAATTTAAATGGCTTGTGAAGTTGCAAAAATGTCAATTGTGAACCAAATGGTCTTTCAATCATCGATATGGTGATTAAGACCTCACGTCTCAAGGTGTCATTCGTGTTGTGATGCCCATCGACTCCGGTACACCAACTGGACCAACTTTACCCAGCTACGAAATAAAAAAGTATAACTTCTCTATTAAACTTTCCCGTTGCTAATCAATAAGTTTTCTTTTGTTCCAGAGACCTTCAGGGTAACAATATCAGCATAGTCTTTCAGAGCGACTTCCAGAACATCAAGGAGCTTAAAGTTTTGTGAGTCAAGCTTTACTATTATAACAACTGTGTTACTGAAAGCTTTTACTGGAGCCGCCCAGATTTCCGCAAGCTTTTCAGAATGGTATGGGCCATATTTCGGACCACATTAAAAGCATCGCAGGCCTAATTAGCGTCAAGTGGCTATCGAATCCTGTAGACTGGGCCCAGGATGACGTCAGTTCGGAAGGGATTTTTTTTATTTTATTGCTTAGATGCGTGGACGAGCTCGCAGCCCACCTGGTGTTAAGTGGTTACAGGAGCCCATAGACATCTACAATGTAAATGCGCCACCCACCTTGAGATATAAGTTCTAAGGTCTCAGTATAGTTACAACGGCTACCCTACCCTTCAAACCGAAACGCATTACTGCTTCACGGCAGAAATAGGCGGGGTGGTGGTACCTACTCGTGCGGACTCACAAGAGGTCCTACCACCAGTGATTACGCAAATTATAATTTTGCGGGTTTGATTTTTATTACACGATGTTATTCCTTCACCGTGGAAGTCAACCGTGAACATTTGTTAAGTAAGTATTTCATCAGAACAATTGGTTCTCGCCTGCGGGATTCGAACACCGGTGCATCGCTACATACGAATGCACCGGACGTCTTATACTTTAGGCCACGACGACTTCAAAACGATGGCTTTGGGGTGGAAATACCCGGATGCGTGATCGGCGTGAGCTCTTATATTTTTATATTTTTCCTACCTAAGCTGCGAGCCTTGAGAGGCTATTTCAGCGTAACCTTAACTAGTAGGTGAGCTCACGGGGCTCAAACCTGACAACGTTGCTAAAACGAACCCTAGCAAGTGCCGTGCTTCGCAGAATCTACCACCGGATCGGAAGCGCGACCCACTGAGAAGATCCGGCGAGAAACTCAGTGGGCTGTGTCTGAGGGTTAACGCGTGAGCTCGCAACACGTCCGACCATACGTCAAATATGCCTTTCCTTGCAGACAGCTGTCGGAGAACCAGATTCACACGATTGAGAGAGACGCCTTCCTCGAGCTGACGTCACTTGAACGATTGTAAGTAGAAGCCAAAAGATGTGAAGCGAAAGAGATGTGGAAATCATTGGCGTTTGCGCAACCAATGAGAGAGAAAGAGAGGGAGAGAATGACGGACATAACCACGTAGCTATTGCATTTTAGAATCATTATAATATGAAAATCATGGTTGAAGCTTAAGGAAAGCAATTGTTTTATTAATTTAAATGCTCAACTCACGGCGCTAAGAATATATTGAAAAAAAACTGCCACTAAGAAAGCAACACCCTGTATTGATAATATTAAGTAGCCACGGCCATCTTGACGTGCTTCGAATTGACACTGCCAAATTCGAATCAATCGCCGAACTGTGACAGCTGTCAATACAAACGCCGAAGATGTGGAGGGTAGAAGTAAGGAGCGCCATCTTGTATAGGGGACAAGTTGATAAAATGTCCGCGCGTGTCAGCTCGTTGTTGTTGGGAGACTCACCGACATAGCGATAGTGTAGGCAGGGGAAACTATATGAATATAGCAGTTTTAAGCAAATTTTTCGTGAGTTTTGTAGTTAAAAAAAAACAGTATTTAAAATCTCTAATATTTATTTTTATTACTATTTACGTAGGAAGTAAATAAAAAAGAAAAAAGTAAAGTTATTTCCTTCATAATTTAGTATCTTACTCTAATAGTTTTTAGCGCTGTCTTTAATTCCACTAGCTACTGTGGCGCCATCTTAATTGCCTTCCTTTCAGTGGACAATTTTTAATACACTGAGATGTTACTTCTTACCTCTACTCTCCATAGCCAAAGACAGTCTGATCGAACCAGAGATGACTTCATTAAATACTGAATTCATTCGAGTGCCGATCTTTGAGCGTGTCCAATTGAAGAATGAGTTCTAGTTTTACAAATTTAAGAGCCTTAATATTCGACAGAGCAAAATAGTCAATTAACAAACAATTTATTCGGCATTGTTTGTATTCTCTCTAACATTCAGCATCCAACAAACACTGGATTTGGGTTTAGCCTAGATCGCGCAGTGCTATCGCACGGGACACGACTATGTTTTAATTACCAAAAACAAAAGCACCAAAACTCGTATTGATTGTGTGATTTATAGTCAAAATGTTGCATTACTTAATGCTTAAATAGTATGGGTAATAATTTTATCAGCTCGAAATCAAAGTCGACATTTGACAACCCTGATTTGATAATTAAAAAAATAGCCGTTAAGAACTTTCGCAGCGATTTTGGTGGGACAGAAGCCGCTGCCTCGCAGGGTCGCCACGACCGCCTCATTTCCAGGTCATCACACGGATTTTATTGATTGCAGGAGAATGAATAATAACGCCCTGGGATCTTTAGCGGACGGCCTCTTTATAAGACTAAGGCACCTACAGAGATTGTGAGTTGTACCTTACCCGACGGTGTGGCCCAATGACTCCCCGAGCTTTTCAAATATTAAAAACGGTGCTTCTCCCTACAGCTTCATGTGGTTACTGTCTAGTTCCTTGGTTGAGAACTCGGAATTTCTTGGTGACTAAACATACGCATGCTTGGTTTCCTACCGTGGCACTGTCTAATAAAAAATGGCCGCAACTTTGAGTTTCAAAATCGTCTAAATGTACATTAAGTAATTGTATAAACCAAAAAAAAAGTTTAAAAACAACTAACAAAATACGTTTTTATAGAAAATCCAACTAAAAAATATATTTGAATTAAAAATAGTATAAGAAAAAAATGATTTTATTGTAAAAAAAAAGCGTGGGGTGCTGTTCAGGATATTATCAAAATAACCCTTCTACTCATATCTGTTCATAAAATATTTATAACTACTGATACCATGCACCCCACGCTTTTATCATTTTTTCTTACACTATTTTTAATTAAAATTTATTTCCTATTTTTTAGTTGGATTTTCTACAAAAGCGTATTTTTTTAGTTTTTTTAAACTATTATTTATTTTTCATTTTTTAGTTGAGTTTCAAATTGTTAAAATTTTTTTTAAACATTGAATTGTCATCGGTCCTTAGTAAGTATACCAAATTTCGAGTTAATCCGACGTTTTGAAGGGGGTCAAAATCATGTTCAAAGATTCCGTTACATACTAACATACATACGTTTGAAGCTAATAAAAGCGTAATAAAAACTTGTTTAGAATCAAAAATACTTAACGACGAGAACAGAATTAGGAATAGTCTATTTCTATATAATTAATTTTTGAAGAATTTTTAAATAAGTGATTTACCAGGTACCCTCAAAATTTCGGACGCATTGTCAGGCCGGTGAATAGCCCTTAAACTCATTCGCGAAATAACGATTAGACAGCGCTTTATTATCCTAAATGTCAAACAGAGGTCGCGAGAGTCGGGATACGACCACGCAGTGTACTAACAAACAAACGTTACGATTTTCGCCAAAAGAAAGACAACTGTGTCTCTCAAAGTCTAATCGACTATCGCCCCACCGAAGTCATCATCATTCTTATTCATCATCATTCATTGTAGGCAGCGGCTTGGCTCTGCCTCTGGCATTGCTGAAGTCCATGGGCGACGGTAACCACTCACCATCAGATGGGCCGTATGCCTACACGGGCAATAACAAAAAGTCTAAATTCTGTTGCCCTTCTCCCAGTCACCTGGGGTCGGCGCAACATGTTATCTCTTTCCATACTCCTCTATCATATACTTCCTTCTAACACATATCGTCTTTCACGCAATCCATCCATTCCTTCTTAGGTCTACCTCTTCCTCTATATCCTTCCACATTCATAGTTAACACTCTCTTACCAACGTCATTGTCATTTCGTCTCATCACATGTCCATACCACCCAAACCCGCACTTCTCAGCTTCTGTCACAGGTGCCACTTTCAGACTTGCTCTAACATATTCATTGCGTATTTTATCCATTCTCGTTACACCACACATCCATGGCAACATTCGCATTTCTGTTGCATGCAATCGCCCCACCGAAGTATGGTATAGCATTGTTTGAAAATTTTGATGACAATAATCATACAATGTTCTCTGGTAATAATCGCAAATAGAGTTAGTAAAATACCAAACCGATATTTAAAAAAAAGCAACTATGAACACGCTATTAAGATTTTAGATCAAACTTAATAATAATTAGAGCTAATTTCAAAACCCAGATTGTATAATTACTTCTATTTTTAACCGACTTCAAAAAAGTAGAAGTTTCTCAATTCGACTGTATGTTTTGTTTTTTATGTTTGTTACCTCATAACTTTTGACTGGGTGAATCGATTTTGATAATAATTTTTTTATTAGGAAGCCGACGCTTTCCGTGTGGTCCCATTTCAATTTAGTCCAGTTCTGATAATGGTATCCATGAGAAAACCATATAAGTCTTAAATTTGCATTAAGTACGTGCGCGACAAACAGATGAATAACTCAATAACTCGATTTCGATGATTATTGTTTTTAGTTTATATTAATTTGTTTTCGAATATCCTTTTTTTTAATATTTGAAGTCGGTTTTTGTTAAAGCATGTCTATTTACAATTATTATTACGGTTTAATCTTGCGCTTTTATTGTCATCATATATTTCTCCTACCTCTTTGCTGGTAGACTAAGGAGTTATTCTAGTTACGGGTAGGTGAGCTCACGGGCTCAACCTAAGAGAAATTGCCAACACTAGCCCTAGCAAGAGCAGTGCCTCGCAGAATCTACCACCGGATCGGAATCTCGACTCTCTAAGAAGATCCGGCGAGAAACTCAGTGGGCTGTGTCTATGGATGTCATCATATTAAATGTTTGTATATATGGATACGTCCGACGTTTTTTTATTGCTTAGATGGGTGGACGATCTCACAGATCACCTAGTGTTAAGTGGTTACTGGAACCCATAGACATCTACGAGGTAAATGCGCAACTCACCTCGAGATATAAGTTCTAAGGTGTCAAGTATAGTTACAACGGCTGCCCCAACCTTCAAACCGAAACGTGTTACTACTTCACGGCAGAAATAGGCAGAGCGGTGGTGGCTACCCGTGTGGACTCACAAGAGGTTTTACCAGCAGTAAGTAAATTAATAGGAAGGTCGGGGAAATTTGATAAAGGGCTGTTCAAAACATGCATTGCTCCTCGAAGACCTTAGACTTAGACCTTAGCTGCGTCTCCTAATAGCATAGTCACTACTCAAGAACCATTTGGTTCAGCGGCCATTTGTTCCACCAGTCACTTTTCTGCTAACTATTCATATCAAATACGGTCTTTAGAATGGTGAAACTCTTAACGTTTGCTTTGGACCAGACCTGTACTTTCCGCTCCAAGATCTGGTGATCGTATTTCGGATACCCTCGGCAGTAAAACTAAGCTAAAAACAATTACAATAATACTATGAGATTCCGTTGCTCTCATCGAGGAAAGAAATGTAACAGCGCTTGTAAATAATTCAATGGGTGTTAGCAAGGTATTGTCTAATCGATATTCTAATGCTAGATCCGATTAAGGGTAACTGTGTCCTTGCATTTTATGGTGGAGTGCTAGATTTTTGGCGAGATCTACAGTAAGCTTAGTCACGCTAGTACCTCCAGCTACACTAGACTCTTGGAATAGGCACCTAATAATTTTATTTTTGTCATTTCCCTCATCCCTTCAAAGCGGGTCTCCTTATTTTTCCTTCTACATCTGCCTACACATCTCTCAAAGCTATTAATGTCCTAAATCCTAGCCGTTGCTATTTGGAGCGGGTTGAGGAGTTAGGCGCTTGTATCTGAAAGACGGAATTTTTATTGCATTAACTCGTGTGACATGATATTATTAGTCGTCGTGGCCTAAAGGATAAGCTGATGTCCGGTGCATTCGTGTTGAACGATGCATCGGTGTTCGAATCCCAGGCGGGTACCAATTTTTCTAATGAAACACGTACTCAACAAATGTTCACGATTGACTTCCACGGTGAAGGAATAACATCTATACTAATCTATATTAATAATATTATAAAGAGGAAAGATTTGTTTGTTTGTTTGTTTCGAATAGGCTCCGAAACTACTGGACCGATTTGAAAAATTCTTTTTCCATTAGAAGCCGACATTGTCCCTGATGAACATAGGCTACTTTTTTAATTTTTTTTTTTTTTGTTTGTTTCATGTGTGTTTTAATGTTTCCGAAGCGAAGCGAGGGCGGGTCGCTAGTCGTGAAATAAAAATCAAACCTGCAAAATTATAATTTGCCTAACTACTGGTGGTAGTACCTCTTGTGAGTCCGCACGGTAAGGCACCAACACCCTGCCTATTTCTGCCGTGAAGCAGTACCCAATGCGTTTCGGTTTGAAGGATGAGGCAGCCGTTGTAACTATACTTGAGACCTTAAAACTTATATCTCAAGGTTAGTGGCGCATTTACGTTATAGATGTATATGGGCTCCAGTAACCACTTAACATCAGGTGGGCTCTGAGCTCGTCCACCCATCTAAGCAATAAAAAATATATATTATATATCAGAGTGTGAAACCCGCCATGCACCTTGAGAAGTAAGACTAAATCTGATTACATTCTTAATTGAAAGAAAAGACCTTCACTTGGCATCACTAAAAACGCCTATTTCGAGCACTGTTTCACTGCTTCGTCTCAGATAGATGGAGCAGTGGCACATGCCAGCAAAAAGGTGGTTAAGTTATCCTCGACTGAGTTGACGTCGAGGAATTTCTAAGGGAGAACGGTCGCCAATGACTCACACGATGAGAATCCTCACAGCGCCCAAACTCAAACTCCACGTCTTGATCAGCGGAAGCAACGATATTTCGTAACAACAATATTAAACGCCTAATTCAATGGGCGCTACGTGATGTCTCCGCTAGGGACGGGATCGAGTCGACACGTATTATCGTTTCATGCGACTGAATCGAATCTATTCATTGAACATATCTTTGTATTGGACATGATCCTGTTTTATTGGCGCGAAGCGTGCTCCGACAAGGACTCGCCGATTCGGGATTTAGCACGTGTGTGTTTTTTTACATTAACAGATATATTTATGTACCAGCCTTTCTCAAAGTGGGCGATAACGCCCCCTAGTGGGCGCTGTAGGCCTAAAGGGGGTCCGCCAAAGAGACCCTGAAAAAAAAGGGGGCGTTGTGTAGAGACTTGGGAGGCGATTTGTAATTTCATCTAGGAGAACTCTTAGACACTGACTGAGCTCTCGCTATAGTGGTTTTAAGAACGCGAAAAAATGGGGGCGATATAAACGAATTTATTCTCAAAGTAGGCAGTAGACAAAATAAGTTTGGGAACCCCTGCTATATATTAATACGTGAAGCAAAAACTTTGTACCCCTTTTTACGAAAATTGCGCGGACGGAGGAGTATAAAATTTCCCACACTTATTGAGAATATAGAGAAAGACTGCAGAATGCTAATACATTTTTTAAATTGTGCATAAA